TCAGCATGCCCGCCGTCACCACCAGGTTGGACAGCACGAAGCACGACATCCGGAAGGGAAGCATCACGGGCTCGCCGGTGTCTGGAGAAGCCCCGCGTTAGCTCTACCTCCCAGTCTTCCAGTCCTGCTCTTGTTTTGGTGTCCGCATGCTTCACGCCAGCGACTGGCAGAGCTCGTGGTGGCGTGCCATACCAGGATGTAATGTCGAGTCGACGATCTTCTTAGCCTTCCACAGCTCCGGTGTCATCTCCTTGATCTCTCCGGTCTTGTACGCCGCCACGAGCTGCTTCGCGTGTTCGAGGCCATTCTTGCCGGCGAATAGGGTTCTGCGGCATAGGGTGGTTAGTACTTATAGAGTCGGCCACGGGTTGCAAGGGAAGCAAAACGCACCTTGGATCGGTAATCGAGGCTGTATGGCGCACGCGACCCCAGTACGTGCTCAGATCGTACTGCGACTCGGGCAGCTCCCGATTGCCAGGAAGGGAGGCCGACATGGCTTCTGAATACTGAATTCCGGGTGAACTGCCTGAGCGCCACGAAGACGATTCAGTACTCGGGGGAATGGCAAGAAGTAAAAGAAGCAGGAAGCACGGCACGAGGCAGCAGCAGCAGCAGCAGCAGCCAAATCCCACGATAAATGGGTTTGGTGGTGAGGAAAATCGGCTATCTACGGCAGGGTAGTACAGTCCCCGTACGGGGCATTGCGGGTTCAAACAGGGTCCTCAAGGGCGCTGAGCCAGCCGATCTCGGCTTGACAATCAGCGCACCCAGCCGCCCTGGACCCTTGTTTGCGTCGCATAAGGCGGGCACCTATCCAGAGACGCGAAACAATGCCCAACTGCAATTTTGCCAATGAAGGCATCAGACGAGTAAGGAAACAGTCCGTTTAAGAGTTCAATAAAAAGGTGAGGTTGCATTCAAAATAAAGGCCAGGCAAAAGTGGTTGCCAGCCAGGATTGGGAAATGCTAAAAGAAAAATGACAAAAGAGAAGGCGTCCCATTGGACAGACTCGACCTCCGCCGGATTCGAACCGACAATCTCCAGAGGATAAGTGACTGTTCACCGAAATCTGGCGCCCTAACCATTAGGCCAGGAGGCCTGCTTGTACTAGCTGGAAGACTGCGATTTCAAAAGGTCCTATATAGTGCATATGACGTAGTCCTATGGTGAAGCATCTTCCGTTACAAAAACTTCCAACTTGAGCATGGAGATGGTTGGTTTTCAAACATTCTTTCTTTCTCCCGATACTAGCTTGACAAAGTCCGACTCGTGATTCTTTCCGGTAGCATCTACAAATAACACCACAAAGTGACCCTGTATGCGATGCATCTGGACAGTCCTTCCAGCGAGGTGCTGGTTCAACGGTCTTGAAGGTCTCGAGCATTGATGGTCTACAGTAGATCATGTAGACTAGACTAGACTGCATTACCTTCCCGCCGCTCTATTTCGCCCACTCATCCACTTCCATCGCGAAATCTCCCCCCAGGTGCACCACCACCGCGCAGCACCCTACCTCCCCATCCTGCTCCCCTTCATCCCCGTCTGCTTCCAGCTCCCAAAATCCCTCAGCCACTTCTTCACCGTGCGGATCTCCCACAGATGCGCCTCGCGCACGAACTGGGGCTCGGCCTGGACGTCCAGGATGCCGTAGGAGTCCCAGTGGTGGCCGGCGCCGTCGATGAGGAGCTCGGGGTGCAGGTCGGACGCCTGGCGGCGCGGCGCCGGCGCCGCCGTCGAGTGGTAGCACAGCTCGTTCCACACGTCGGCGGACCCGTCCACGAACGCCAGCCGCGCCGCGCTGATGTTGAAGCCCCCGTAGCTCGTGTACGCGCCCAGGTCCGGCGAGGACGGGATCGCGTTGTAGCTGCCGGCGGGGAACGCCCACTGCGGTGGGGGGAGGAGGAGTGGTTAGTAAGAGAGAGGTCCGCGGAGAGGGGGAGGGGAGGACGGGCTTACGGTGCACCATTGCTGCTCGTACGACGTGTCGATCACGCGCGATAGCAGGCTGGGACCTTCTTTCGGCGCGTCGATGTACGCTCCCTGGCGATTCGGGTCAGGTCATGGTTGGGCCGTAGGGAGAGATGGGAGACTCACCTGCTCAGTGCAGCTGGTGTACACGTATGATCGGGTTACACTGTTGGATGTGTCTTCCCAGTAAGTCTTGTTGGTGACGCCCTGGAGCGAGAGCGTTAGTACTGCCTTACGCCTTTCGCATTCTCATTGGAGTCTTACCCAGCAGTGTGGGCTATTGGGGTTGCCGCCCGGGCATTGCGTGAGTACGTGCTTCTTGTAGTAGTTCTGAGAGCATCGGGTCAGCTGTATTCATCCAGAGTCCGGCGCAAAGAGCATCGCGTACCGCGTAGTTACCCAGACCAGTCCAAGGTTCGCCGTTGGTGTAGTTACTCAGGACATAGTCGACCTCGTTGATCTCGTCAGGCGCGTCGATGTTGGTGACATTGTCGCAGAAGTAGAAGAAGTCCCGAGACCCGAAGCTCGTGTTCCAGTTGAGCTCCTGCCAGGTCGATGAGAGGTAGAAGCCAGGGTTCCCGATGGGGTCAACCAGTGCTTGGGCGAAGTCGCGGATGTCTTTCACCGATTCCAGGCCAAAAAGGCTCTTGAACTCATCCACTGCAGAGGTCAGGTTCTTGTCCACGAGCATGTCGAATTTGTCGATGATGTTGTTAATGCGACCTACGCAGTCCTACATCGCGCCGCAGGTTAGCCTGTGCTTGGTGGTCTTGAACATTCAATATGGTAGTGAGAGGGCCTCTCGGCGTACATGGGCAGCCACTTGCAGAGCACATGCGACATTCAGAAGGGATGGTGATACTGACCTGCGGTCCGTACTTCTGGATAGGGTAGTACCACTCCGGATAACCCACAACCGGCTCGACCGGTGCAGAGGCGGCTATGCCACCGTAGATGATATCGCCATATGTCACGATCGAGAACGCAGTCTGGGCGCCTGCCAGGCTGCCACCGTACATAATCCAGGGCGTGCCCGGTGCTGTCAGACTACAGTTCAGGCCGGGAAACTCGGCATTCTGAGCGAAGTAGGCATTGTCGGCGATGGTCTGGGCAGTGCTGAGGAAAGCCAGCTCATCCGTCGTCGAGCTGTTGAACGGATAGCTCTCCCCGTAATACCGGTTCTCGAGGATGACGCCCAGACCATTGGTTTCTGGTCGCGCTTAGTTACGTCCACGCAGGTGATGCTGAGTGATTCTTACCCTTCATGAGAATCTGGATGATCCCAGTCTGTAAGTTTGAAAAGCGGCTTGGGCCTGTTGCCGCGCATGTCAGCACCACTCTATCTGCGATTAAGAGGCGCAAGACATACCACTCGTCTCTCCGCCGATATAGAGGTATACCGGACCACCTGGTGGCAATGTCAATAACCCTGATGATACGATCATGCCTTATCGGGTGACTGACCGGGCTTGTAGTACGAATGGTCGAAGTAATACCTCTGCGTGAAGGTCTCGTTCGCGTAAGGCAGCCCATTCTCAGGGAAGTGATTGATTTTCTAGGAGCATCAGACATGGCGCTTCATTCGCCTGGGGCGATGTCCGCCACCTCGAGACTTACCTGTTGGAAATAGTTCGCCTTATACGTGAGGTCTTCTCGCGGGGTATCACGCTTCTTTTGCAGCGCTTCGGCGGCTTGCAATGTAGCGGCCAAGAGGCCGAATGACATCCAGCTGAGCTTCATCTTGACAGCCGCGACGAAGAGCAAAACATTTGAAGAAGTGAGGGGAATTGGGCAATCTTACAGGTGAGAATCCCATGCAGCCCATGATATAAGACGTGCAGACGAGGCTGGACTAGGCTCACATCTCCGCATGCCCTAGGTACCTAGTTCGGGGCACCGGCACCGGTTACGATGGCTGCAGCAATCCGGGGCGGGGATCCGTGGACCTGACCATCCTACTGTACTATCTACTATCTACCAGACCGCGTCATCAGACAGCAGTAGCCTGCTTCCACCGACGATGGCATCAGCCGTCGAGTCAGTGTCGTTGTTCGATTTGATCGGGGACCCGAAACAGGAAGGTATCGCACTCAGATTCCCCACTGCGCCGGGTCGCTAGGCCAACGAGATGCCTGTCTTGGCTTCTTATCTGCAGCAGTCACGGTTGTGCTATTGGATGGCCATCATGATCCTTACATTGAGTCATCGCCAACGACGGCTTCATCGGCGGTGAGAACATTTGGAAGAATTCTTATTGTATTCAGCTCGGTTGCAAAACCGTGCAAACCCCGCGCAGCGAATCTGCAATGTTTAAGTATTTAGATTGATCCGAGAGTCGCATTGCAAGAGCCGGGAACCTGTGTCTAATGTATGGTTTATAGAGATCCCAGATGCTAATAGGGGAGCCAAGCATTCCAGCAAAAAGCTTGTTTGCACTCGCCCAACCCCCCTTGAGCCTCCAGCACGACGGCAGTGACGGACAGCCCTCCGTCAGCCTCAACCCTACATCATTACCTACTCGCTTACTACTCCAGAATGGCCATACCCTGCGCGCTCTTCCCGGCCATATCACCCAGCTCCAGCCGCTGGATCTGCTTAGCGGAGCCCTGACCCCCCGAGATATCCAAAACGACGACCGCGGCGCCGGCCGTCCGATTGCCGGGCGCCAGGACGTAGAGGTAGGCGCCGGCGGCGCGCAGGTCGACGTAGCCGGCGTCGGGGTTGGCCGCGGAAAGGTCGGTCAGGCCGAGGATCCGGGCGTCGGCGGCGCCCATCTCCACGACCCGCGGCACCGCCACGTCGGTCACGAAGACGCTGCCGGTGGCCGGCGCGAACGCCGCCCAGCACGTGGCCGCCTGGCCCGGGATCGGGGTCCGCGCGCGCGTGGTGGTGGTGGTCACGGCGCCGCCGCCGCCGCCGGGGCCCGCGTCCACCACCGCCAGCACCGCCGCCCCGAACGACGCGTCCGTCGCGAACACGTCGCCGCCGGGGAGGTTGGCGGAGCCGAACAGCACGGCGGTGCCGGCGGGCGAGGAGCGCGCGTCCCGCCGCGCCGCCGTCGACGAGGTCACCTTGCCGCGGCACGTGGTGGTGGTGGTGGAGTCGATGATGGGCAGCGCGGACACGAAGCCCGTGGCGTTGGCGCCGGCGGCCGGGTCGCCCTTGACCATGGTGTAGAGCGTGGCCTCGTCGGCGGAAAAGAAGACCTGCGAGAGCGTGTTGGCCGGGCCCGCGGGCGGCGTCGTCTGCCCCAGGTCGATCGGGCGCCGGGCGTCGAACCGGCCGAGCCCCCCCCGCGCGCTGAAGGGCGCGCACGAGATCCCGGCCGCGGCGCCCGTCATGCCCACGCAGGCCAGCCCGTGCTTGGCTGAGGCCGCGACGGTGTTGGGGAACTGGCCCGGGACCGCGGCGGGCGGGCCCACCATGCGCAGCTTGGTCGCGTCGTGCGAGATCGACAACATGCTGACCGTGTTGCTGCCGGGGTTCACGGCGAAGACGTGCTGGTTGGTGCGATCGCGTCAGCTTATCTTTCTTGCAGGCCGAATGCAGGGCTTTCTGCTTACATTGCCCGCCACTGTCAAGGCAGATTGGCTTGCCAGGGCGTCTGGGCCGGCTGGCTTCCCGTCGCTGTCCACTGAACTTCCGCCCTTGCCCCCAGTAGGGTTCAATACGCCCTTGGACAATGTGCCATCCTCGTTGATCGGTAAGGCGAGCACAGAGTTGGGGCTCTCATTTGTGAGGATGTAGACAGCCTTTCCGGTGGCCTTGCAATCGGAGGCTGGCTGATCTCGGGGTGTGATGTTGATCGCACTGCCGGCGATGGCCTCGGCGAAGAGGAGGGACAGGATGAAGTTGTTCCGCATGGCTGATGACGATATAAGTGAGGAGGGAAGTAGGCGTACTTTCTCTCAAGTGCTTGCTGAAGAACACAAGTCCAGACTATCTTGGTGCTCCTGGGAAACGTCTCCCATTTAACTTCCTCGTGATCGAATGCTAGGATGCCGCCATACTCAACGCCTCGAGAACGCGACGCAGACTGGGTGTGCTAGCATAGCTTGGGAATTGCGTGTTGGAATCAATTTTCCCAATCTGATCATAGGACTTGTGTCATATTCCAGCTGCTCGGCCTTT